CCTTCATTTGTTAATGCCACTATTTTTTGTCATAACTTTAGGAGTCCAAAACCACATTTTCCATCTTGACTTTGTCTATTTGAATACAATAACTGTTTGAAACTCCAACTCAGAAGCCAATCACACAGCAGTACGGAACACCTACACTTTCTTAGCATCATCTTTCATGAGCCAGAGCTGCTTGATGCAGCAGATTGCTACTTCTATCCTGACAAGCTCATTTATCAGCAAAAATACAAAGATGCCAAACAAACACATCACATAAATATAACTCCATCAAACAGAAAATGTTTCCTTCCAAATGTTTGGTAGTTCAAAACTTTTGTAAGAGTAAGGAGACACACAAAAAAAAACCCTTTATTCAAGTTAAACAGCTGTGGACAACAGTTGTATAAATATGCTAAAGGTAAGAGAGCACATATGTGTGTTTGCATAGAAATACACACACACACAGAGCAGCCTTAGCAGTTAATGGAGGTGGTTACCAAGGTCCCTCATTGTCAAGAGACCCAACCTTCCCTGTGTAAGGGGCAGCCCAGCTGCTTTGCCCCTGCCTAAGCATAGAATCATAGAATGGTTTGTTTTGGAAGTGCCCTTAAAGCTCACCCAGTTCCAGCCCCCTGCCACGGGCAAGGACACCTTCCACTGGAGCAGGTTGCTTCAAGCCCCATCCAACCTGGTCTTGAACAGGCTTTAGCACCTCTCAGGGAAGGTTTGTAATGCAGGAAAAAGAATCAGTAGCCCCAACACACCCAGGCGAAAACTGCCTGCAAGGCACAGACTCACTTGGAAGTCTTTTTGTCATAAGCTTTCCCGTGGCCCTGTTGCGCCTAGCAGGTGAGATCAGTTTTGAGCCACACAAACATGGATGACTACTTCTTTACAAACCAGCAATTATATTAACATTACTCCGAATAACTTCATTTTGTTGCAGAATAAACTCTTTCCTCCTTAACTGCATGCCAGAACTGGCTGAGACATCATATATAACATAAATGTTGAAGCCATCTTTATAGAATTGCCTAGAGACATCTGAGTTCATTTGACTCACGCTATTATGTGCAGATAATTTTGTCTTCAGTTACTTCATTTTTTTACGTAAAGAAGCTTGTACATTGATTTCATAATTATTGCTTGCAATTTTTCTACTTAAATGAAGTTTCTTTTTACACTAGCTATCAAGTTGTACTACAGCAAGTGACCAGATGTTATCAAGGAAATAAGACACTGCTTGTAGAACACTCAGCATGTGCCAGCACATCATCTACATTTCAGATCTCCTATAAAGAGGAGAAAATATTGCCACAAAGGGTACAAAATTTTACCTTCTTCTTACTACCTTGTTGAACTAGGATGGACTTGGAACACGCACACATACACAAACCCCTCAAAACATTAAATAAACGTTCTCCTCTTTAAACTTCAGATGTCTGGATGCATTTTCTATTTCCCTTGGCCTGAGAGTTAAAATCCCTGCTTTGAAATGCAAGCTCCAGCAAGCCACCAGGTAAGGCCAGCTTTAGTGTTTCACCATGTCTCTCCTTTGCTGATGAAAGTAAAAGAAAAAAGCCGTTGACAGCCAATCACTTAAAAGATCTTCATTTCAGTTGGATTTACATGGGCACCCACATATACATAATGCTGTCTCTATATACATGTCAACCTAGGGTACATACATATGTATGTGTACTGATTAATTTTCTCAACAGCTAAAATCTTAGAGCTCTTAACAACAACTCTGAAAAGATAGCCACACTGCTTAAATTAAGTCACTAAAGTTTAAGCAAGAGCTACTTTTCTTGACCTTTTATTACTGTTATTATGCCTTGACTTTTAAAAGCATTGCAGAAGTCTCATGACATGCCAAGGAAGACTTTATCATGCTGGTAAAATAACCTGAAGATGCTTTTGTGAAATCCTGTACTTCCCTGCATCCCTCAAGTACTATTATTCCATGAAGATAATGTTTTCATAATGTAATTGCAACTCTATCACGTTACTGTTATTGCATTTTAATAACACATGTTTAACTGTGTAAGTCAATGAACAAATGCACTGTGAAGAGCCATGGCACAGTAATCGTATTCGAGGCAATTTTCTCCATCAAATTTGAAAGAAAACCCTGGAAACCTGATTTTACAGAAGTTAATTGCAGTGGGAAAAGAATATAATGGGAGGCATTAGAATAGTGCCACAGTTAAAACACAGCAGTCAGCAGAGCAAATCATAGACTTATTTTAAAATTAATACCAAACACCAGCTCTACAAACTAAGTATGTAAATGTCTCCCCTGAAATTACGTTGCTTTCTTAAAATCAAATCTACAGACTCCTCTTTAGAACATTATTGCACACTCTTTTGTGCTTTTGCCTAGCAACAAGCCTTCTGGTGCTGGATACTCTCAGGAGCGACTCTTACTACCAAGACATCCCATCTCTTTACATCTCCTGTTGTTTCTCGTGGGAGGGAGGCAGTCCTGTGTCAGGTATCCTCCACACTAGCTCTGTCTGAAACGAGACAGTAAGGCAGGTAGGCTATGAGCTCTGTGCAGCTGATGTCAGACAAAAGTGGTGAGATGTGTTCTTATCTCGGGGTGTTAACACTGTGACTGCATTGGGATGCAATATTCGAGGAGTCCATGATCCTGAACAGGGAATGTTGGCTCTGCTGGACCTCGTAGTTCAGGTTTGAGAAGCCCATATGTTACTAATGTCATCTGTAATTTATGAGGTCTTTGTACATGGATCAAGAGGCAGAACAAACTTAAACAGGGGAGAGTAAGGTGAGATCTTAGGAAGAAGTTCTTCCTTGTGAGGGTGGTGAGCTGCTGGCACAGGTTGGAACAGAATGAGCTTTAAGGTCCCTTCTAACCCAAACCATTATGTGATCTATGAATGTTGATCCTGACTGAGACAGTTGCATTTTGAGGAGTTGGTGATCCACGAGTCATCCAGGCCGAGCAGGCACACACCACACACCCAGCATGGCTCCCAGCCTGTGCTGCACTCCACAGATCCCACAAATCCTGAGGCTGGAGGATGAACCCAGCCTGCTCAGTGTGATGGAGCAGCCTGCAGGCAGCTCCCACTTAGCACCAGGATTATGCCCAGCAAGAAGTTCTCATGAGAACACCCTTTAGGAACACATTTTTATTTATTATCTCAGATGACCACAAGGGAGGGCTTCTCCCCACACACAGCATCTGCTCTGCCTTGTGCAGCATGGCAGGTGAAAACCAATCGAGGCTCACTCTGATGCTGTATGAATGTGGGTACCTAGCATCTTAAGGGACATAAAATTCACTTGCTATCTATGCTCCTCTTATTATTCCATCTTATTAAAGAAGATGGAATATCTTCTTAAGCCATTCGTTGTCATACCTTTCTTATAGAGATCCCAAAATAACCTAGTGCTGGCTCTCCCCCCTTGCCATCACCACCACTCCCCATACAGAACAATAACCAGTATGGTAAGTAATCAGCTACTTCCAATTATGTTTGACCGTCTTGTTTGTGTTTATACTCATATTTACCATATCAAACTGGCAATAGAAGCCAGGGTTTAATTTTCTGTCATCGTACAGTTGTACTCATAGTTCCGCAGCCTGATACACAATGTGATTGTCCTTGCTGGCAAAAGCTGTCTCTCAGATGATGACCAATGCACCTAACGAATGGCTTTAATTTATTTATAGGACTGAACAAAGGCTTTAGACCCAGCCTTTGCTCTCATATTGCCAAAGGCTATCATTAAATTTTAATTGACAACCTGAATCTTCCCCAAGAGATGTTTCGTCATCTCTCCTAAGGACTTGCAGGGTGTTGTTCCCTGGACCTAGCCTGCAGTCACCCAGAGCTGAGAAGTGCTCACATGAGCATTAGGTTTCCTGCCAAGCTCAATTCAAGCCACAGTTATAAAATGATGAGTAACACACCTAACCTTTGTCTGAATCAAAAGGCTTTCATTTTCACAAGGTGGATTAGAATTCCTGAGGAATATGGCAGTCATTCCCTATGGGGAGGGTTCCCAGCAATCCACTGTACACCTGTACTAACACCTCCTACAGCTCCAGTCTGAACAGAGAAAACCCTTGACTAGCTGCCTCTGACATTGCCCTTCAATGGTGAGGTTTGAAAAGCTCTGCAAGGAGGACAGTTTTACTCTTCCAGCCTATGTCTTAGCAGAAGACCTGATGGAATGAACTGTCACCTCTGCAGCTGGGATTGGAACCTGTGGAGTTTTTCCTGTCAAAGGGGGAAGGAAAGAACTGGCAGACAACAGCACACACTAAGGGATTTGGCCATGTAGGTGTTCAGTGTTCACTTAACTGCATTTACATTTACACAGATGCCACCTCTTCCTGAGTTGCCCATGTCACCTTTAGGAGGTCACTCAGGACTGCTGAGTCCATGTTGAAGCCCTTCCATGTTGAAGCACTATCTCCATAAACACATTCAGACAAAAAGCTGAGTTAACAGTTACCATTATCATCTTGGAATGCATTCTGGTGACTCTCCAAGAGGGGGGGTGTAGCCATCTCAATACACAGCCAGCCATAGACTACAATCATTGTTTCAGAATTGAAGATAGGAGCATTCGCTTGTCGTCTGCCACCCACAGTATCTCTGCTTTCCATTGTGCATTCCTATTTCAGGCTATACATAAGTAAATCATACAACACTCCTCATACAATTGTTTGGGTTGGAAGGGACCTTAGGATCATCTAGGATTCTACAAGACACTTGCACAGAGCCTACATAAAGGAACTGTTCATTCTGCACACATGAAAAAACTGTAGAATGTGCTCCAGAGAATTAAGGAGAAACTAAAACGCTAGGACAGAGAAGACATCATGGGAAGATGGAGCAGGTGAAATAATGAGAGGCAAGGAAGGAGAAGGAGAAAATAAGACGGATACTGTACCAAAGTACCATCATCTTAAAAATATAACAAAAACCCCAGTAACCAACCAACCAAAGAACAAAAACCAAATGCAGCAATAAAGACTTTAAATATCTTTGTTTCCAATCAGGATGTGAAGATAAATGGGATGCTCAATACAGGCAATATATTTTTATCCTGGAAGCAGCCTGGGTGTCCTTCCTGCAAGTGTATTTTACTCCTACAAAAGACTACCAGAAAAGAAGAGAAACCAACAGTTATAGACTCTGTATAAACTAAACCACTAAGGCCCAGAAAAGCTGAATTAGGCAAGGTAATTAAGCGCTTAAGCAAAGGAGATAAAACGTGCAAACTACACAGCAGGTATCAAATGTCTTTTTTGTCTATTTATTTAAGAGAAACATTTTAATTCTATATCTTTTACTGCAGTTTTGGTTCATGTTCCAGGCACTCAGCAAAGGCTCACAGCAGGATTGTCTTCAATTGCAGCGAGATTTGGATCAGCTCACGAAAACACAGATTCTCTTCCCATTATCATAACAGATGCACAGTGCACAGGGAACAAGCAAGATGCTCACCCATACCTCCACTACTTGGAAATCATGTTGGTAGCAGCTCCCTTCCCATGAGTTATTTCACTTTAAAAACCAAAAGTCACTTTAAAGATACATCAGGATGATTGCTCTGCTTCAGTGGGATTGCATTAGCAGACTCAGGAATATTGTCCAGCAGTCAGAATACACAGGTATTTTTTGCATGATAGTATAATCTAGCTAGGATTAAAATATTGGGTGAGGGAGACAGTTTATGTCTCTCTCCTTGGAATGTCTTAGTATATCTATTAGTGGGATAATGCACAGTTGCTTGCCCGTCTGCTTCTCAAATCACTGGCACCATGAAACAACAGCAAAGTGAGAAACAGTGTTGTCAAAGTTAAACACATCTGCACTCAGAACCTTTTCCTGAGCCCAGAGGTTGGTACTTCCAGCAAAGTGTAGCTGCTTTTCACAGCAAATTTATACTGAATTGTGTTTGAAGAGAATGGTCTAGATACACCCCTATGCTTCTAAAGCAAAGAAAGCTTTAGCTGTAAACCTGAACAGATACATAGAGAGATGATAGGATAATTTTTTAATCTTACTCTCTGCTTTTCAATTCAATTGCTGCTTCTACAGTTGCAGGAAAACCTGCCCAAAAGCCTACAATTGTGTGATAGAATCATACTCTGAGAGACTAAGACAAATGAGCCTCAAATATGCCATCTATAGGTCTGGTTTACCTTTATTATGAAGTCTTTTGTATCCTTGGAGCAATTTCTGAAGGCAGGTTTCATCATACTTTTGATTTCTGGCTTCTAATTTATACTGAAAACACTGAAAGCAGCTTTCTTTTTTCAGTGCAGACCCAGACTTGCTGGCAGTGGCAGTAATACCAAGGTATCTGATGGCCTCTGCATACAAGGGGTACTTGTTACCCACAGCCCCTCTGCAATGGTGGCACAGAGGGCTCTGTGGTAGGAAAGCCTTGTGTTCTGAATTATACTCACAATTAATTTCCCAAAAGGACAGTAATGCTATCTGAAGTGAGGTGCACCACTTAGAAACAAAGCAACTTCTTTCTTGAGATCATTACTACAACATGGTATAAAAAGCACATATTTTATATCCTTAACAGCATCAGGACAAACTTACTCAGATCACTGACCCCTTTCCTTCCTGCTTATGGAAGATTTATTAAAAATAATAATAATAAAAAAGGTAAAAAGGCAGAAAACATTCAGTAGGGTAGATAGTCAGATAAACCAACAGACCAGCTTTGTATATACTTACTGGATTAAATTTCCTTTAATAAAATTGAGCTGTTTCAATAACAATAATAAAATCCTAGAAGCTGGTTTCAAATAATTCATCACATATAATAGTGACAATATCTATTCTGCATTGTTTTCTTTATGACTTGAATAAACACCATCTGGCAACAGGGTGTTGGAAGGATTAAAATTGTGAACTCCTCTGCAGACTTTGCCCTACGGTTACCAAAGAATGATCAATTCCTGGAAAGCAGCTTTGAGGGCACATTGGTCCCACCTCTCTCAATGAAAAAAGACATAAATATCTCATTTAGTTTCCTAATGACCTTGCTCTGGAAGAGCAGAAGAAGATGGATCTCTTCACATGCTAGCTCATACACGTACCTCTTGTATTTTATCCTATTATAGAGCCACTTTTAAGCCTCCATCAAAATTAAAAAACATACTGCATACATCTAGTCTGAAAAACAGTTAAGAACACTTAAAAATTTAGTGCTTTTTTTGAACTAGGATCATAAAATCCATCCTGGCATCTGACTCACGTGGGCTTTGATATTGCAAATGGACCTGAAGATTTTGGAGTTTGAATTCTGGTCTTTTTTTTGTTCAGTAAGGCGAGAGTTATTTGGAACATACATATCATCAGGACTTGGCATTCCTCAGTGGTGACAAACTTGAATCCTTAGTTTTCCTACAATATTGATTCTAGTCAACTGGCTTGAGAACAGCACCAGTTTTAAGCACTTGCTTTTCATCCTCATGTGAGGGTTGCTATGTTTTGGAGTAATGCATTTTTAGGTAGGTAAGTGACAGAGCAGTAGCAATTAAGTCAATCAGAGCAGTTTTATATCTCATATTTTGTATTTCTCCTGACAGCAGTTGTTTAAAAAAGTGTATGTTCAGAGTCATAAATAATGTTTCACTTCCCATACACCCAATGGCAGTGCAGAAGCATTCGCCAAATAAAACTGCAATGCTTCTTACCAAGAAAGTGATTAACCATAATTGCTGACAATAATTTAAATATTTACACCATACTATAAACTAGGGCTTTAGACTAGTGCATAGTGCAGCCAGACTAAAGAGTTCCTTCTCATCCTCCTGATTCATTTCTATAGGCCACAGACCTGAAGAAAATGCAGCATTTTGACACTAGTGTTTTTCCTAACTGTGAAGGTGGTTATTTCTGTCTCCAGCCAGAAACCCTGACTTGGTCAAACTTCTCTTTTTTAACCATGAGAAAATTCCTGTTCTATACTTTGAGTCTCACGCAGCAACTCCTTTATAAAGGCTCTGAGATTGCCCACTGTGGTGGGATAAGCATCCATTATTCTTACACACTGCCATTAGTTTCTCATCTTATATAAAAAACAAGTGCCTAGAAATGCAGCATTCAACAATACCCAAACCACAGTTGCCCAGGCCCCAGTATTAGAATGTTTCGTGTCCCTCAATCAATGATTACCTCTTGTTTGTATATCAATCCTGCAGAAAAGCAATGCCAGAGAGAAACGTAAGTTCGTATCTCACCCCTTCTGCCTACTAAGTCAGAAAAATTGTTTGGTGGTGCTCAAGAAGGAAATCCTCCAAAGTCCAAAGACTAATGACTTTCTCTTTTATTGTAACCCTTTTACAATCCATGACACTGACTGGTAGATTTAGGGCTTCACAGTGAGACCTCCAGGCAACCAGGTGCATTGCGGAAGTGATTCACATACAGTCCTACAATGGAGACAGTTCTAGCCCAAAAGATTAAATTCAGCCTGCATCCATGCCTTAAAAACAGCTTTCCCTGGAACACAGCTGCTGGCAGTGAGTAAGAGCACAAGCCTGCAGATGAGCTCACCTGGATCCTGCTCCAAGCACAGATGTAGCCTGCATTTGGCCACGTGAAGGTCCCTTAGGAACCAGATGAAGTACAGAACTGATATTCAGCAACACTTCATCCTGAAGCATCTGATCCCAAAGCAAATCTGGGGATTCTGTGTTTGGTACCTATCAAAAAGAGATTCAAAGCAGCCAGCACGCTAGATTTCCTTTGGACCCCCCTTTCATTAGCAGCTTTTCCTCCTTCTATCCTCAGACAGTGTAAGAAACCACTGAGGTTTAAGATTATAGCATAGACACCAGAACGTCTTTCCCCCCCCACGTCACAGAGATGGGTGAAATTCTTTATTCTAGTAGTAGTGTAGTTGTTAGAGTACTTAGCTATGTCCAATTCTTTTCCCAATAAAAGAGGTTCAAACCTGTGCCCCAAATACTGTAACAATGGCTAGTTGGTATGCTCAGCACCTCTCACACTGAAGTCATGCCACTACTCCTGGAAAAATTTGCAGGACTAGGGCAAATGTGATTTTGGATTAGCTTTCCCTCCACTCCCCAGAGCACCCACAAAGCATCTCCATGCTGGGCTGAGACCATGGACCTCTTTTGACCATAACTCCAAAGATTTATTAGGAACTACCAACTTGCCTCCTCTGAGTGCCATGTTTTAAAGTACAGTAGCATCTTAGCCCTGCACCTTAGAGGGATCCCAGTCTTCTCAATAGAAACTGCTCATGCCCTGGGCTAAATGGGAACATTGTTCCATCCTCAGAGGCTGCAGGATGATGAATTAACCAGATTTCAGTCTGGCTTCAGCATCAAGATACCCAGTGCGAGCAGTCCTTGACCTCAGGTAGAAGCAAAACTATTGATGTTAATCTCTAACTAGACAGGGATTTTAAAAATCACGTTTTTGATCTAAACCCCATCTATCTATGCCAAATTTAGAACATTATTTATCAGTTCTGGTTCATTTCTTCCTTACCTCAGTACTTCAGTTCGTAACACTGGATCGATGCTCGACTTCTATACAGGAGTAACATGAGCAATAAACAGAGATGTTTGCAGCATAGCTTAGCAGATGGCAGAAACTGACACAGCAAACAAAGATTAAAAGTAAAATATGCATTTCAACGGGACCATTACCCTAAACTCAAGTTCCATGTAAGCTCCTCACAAAGCTTACAACAAAAGCAGATACAAATTAATTACAATACCCTGCAAAGCCAAAGATGCTTTTATATTCATGGTCTATGTAACTTACATTATGATATTCTTGATAGCTTTTTTCTTTATTTTTTGACCTGTTAATGACTTGGAGTTGAATTCCGCAACTGTTATATTCTTAGACAGTGAAGATTACTCACAACTAGTGCATCAAGATTCAATCAAAAACAAAAGGCACTCAGCATATCATAGAACCACAGACTGGTTTGGGTTGTAGGGACCTTAAAGCTCATCCAGTCCCAACCTCTGCCATGGGCAGGGACACCTTCCACTAGAGCAGCTTGCTCCAAGCCCCTGTGTCCAGCCTGGCCTTGAACACTGCCAGGGATGGGGCAGCCACAGCTTCTCTGGGCACCCTGTGCCAGTGCCTCACAGGGAAGAGCTTCTGCCTAAGAGCTCATCTACTAAATATACTGTAGTTTTTGTCTTACTAAGTTTATGGGTATACTTGATGTATGCTTTCTAATGTCTGACTGCAGCTGTCATTCAGTCTACTACAAAGACAAAGGTCAGTGGAAAAGACTCAGTTTTGAACATAAAGTCATGGAGTGATTTGGAAAGAAAAACCGACAACAGGATATAATTGCAAGCATAGATATCTAATGAAGTGAAAACGTGGCAACTTAGTGCTAGTAAACTGGCTATACTGGGATTTATTTTAATATACTGCATCGAAGTATATTCATACTATATATATTGAACTGATAGAAGAAACAAAAAGCCAGATGGCGCTGCTTTCTCTAGGCAGCAGAGCTTTACAGAAAAGTCACTTGCATATATATGTGCTCCTAAAGGGAGAAACCCAAAGAAAAAAACATTTGCAATGTATTCCCGATAGTCTGCCAGTTAACCACCAACATACATCTGTGTTTCTACAGCCAGCCAATGACATTCAGCAGAGCTGCAGAGAGGAATGACCACAAGTGGAATGAAGGCGTCTACAGGTTCTGCTGAAGGCATTCAGCACTTCCAGGTTTCCTTATGTATCATATTTAATGGTTTCAGCGCAGTCTAGTCCATATGCTGGTTGTTTACCACATCCAAAAGCTGTCAAGTGCCTTCAATATCAGTTTCAAAAGTAATGCCAAGGACTTAAACACAGATTTTTTGAAAATATATATTCTGGTTCAGCTGCAAGGTACTGGGCAAACTGTTAGTGATCCTGAGTGAAATTCAAGCAAAATGATCATGACAGTGATTTCAGGCCTCGAAATATACATTTGAGATGGAATTCCCTCTTACTACTCTAAACCACGTTTCATTACTGAATAGCAATCAGATTGTGCAGATCCCATTTTAAATTCTATGATTCTACGATACGGACCTAAAGATTTCATGTGAATTCCTCAAACAAACAAGGAAACAAAAAATTATACTGTTAAATTCCTGACTTTCCAAAAAACTTCTGCCTATGAACCTGCAAAAAACACAAAAAGGATGTAAATTTATATTCATAAATTAATGTATTGGACTATTACCACAGAATCCCTGCCCATGGCAGGGGGGTTGGAACTGGATGATCTTAAGATGCTTTCCAACCTTAACTCTTCTATGATTTTATGATTCTAATCACAGACTGGTTTGGGCTGGAAGGGACCTTAAAGCTCACCCAGTTCCAACCCCCCACCACGGGCAGGGACACCTTCCACTAGAGCAGCTTGCTCCAAGCCCCTGTGTCCAACCTGGCCTTGAACACTGCCAGGGATGGGGCAGCCACAGCTTCTGACATGACAAAGAAACTTCCATCATGATAAAGAAACCACAAAAAAAAACCTCTGAAAGGCTGATGAGCATGAGCCAGCAGTGTGCTCTGGCAACATCCTGGGCTGTGTTAACAGCAACATAGCCAGTAGACCATGGGAGGTGGTAATCTTAATGGAGTTTTCTACATGTAGTCTCATGAGTGCTGTGTAGGGCAGCATCTAGTTTTGGGCTCCCAATACAAAGCATACGTCAACAACCTGGAGTGAGTTCAGCACAGTGCCACCGTGATGGTCAAGGGACTGGATCGCTTGCCCTGTGATGGAGAGTCTGAGGGTACTGGATTTGTTCAATACGAAGATTTGAGAGGACCTCTTAGCAGCCTCCCAGTAACTACAAAGAGACCACCAAGGAGACAGAGCCAGGCCTCATGGCAGAATGAGAGATAACACTGGCTGAAACAAGAAACATTCACACTAGACAGTAGAAGTAACTTTTTCTCCATGAGGACAAGCAATGGAAAGGTCTGTCCAGGGAGTCTCCAGCTTTGGAGGATTTCAAACCCAGGATGGGGTAAAGCCCTAAGGCACCTGTTCCAACCTCACTACTTTGAGCAAAAGGTTAGACTAGCTGACCTTCTGGTGTCTCTTTCAACCTGAATCATCCTAAGAATCTATGAACATAGAACTTCCATAAATCAGGCAAAAAAAAATGTAAGTAGGCACTCACTGATTGCACACTCAAGATCCTTGATGCATACATTAAGTCACACTAATAAGCTGCTTTTGCAGTAATTAGGTGTACATGTAAAGCACATAAACTTAGTCCATTGTGCCTAGTGGAACTTGAACTCAGTCTTGGGAGAGTCCAAGCAAAACCAGACAGGTTCAGAACCTGCAGGCAGTGCAACCCTGAATACAGCCACAGTCCTTTTGCAACACAAGAGCTCTAAAGGTTTTGATGGACTGCTGCAAGACTGCAGGAAGTGGTAATTTTTGCTAAAGACAGTAAAATTAATAAAATACAGAACAGGTGAGAATGGTCTGGACCTTGACAATGGACTCTGCTTTCCTGCTCTTCACTTCTTCCCTGTGGCCCATTGCATGGTGGGTGCTTCAGCACCTTGGGAGCCTCACCACTGCTGTAGCGCCTGTGGAGATGGTGCTCTGCTTTGTAGGAAAATGTCCTTTTCTCTTTCCTCCCTGCCTCCTCTCCCCTTGCATCTTGTGAGCTGGGAATTACTCCCAAAGCATGAGACTATGCTACAAAAAACCTCTTTGAACAGCTGATTTTTTCCTATTTTTTTTGACTACATTACAATAACATGCATTGTTCTGCGAATTACATTTTGGAGTAATTCCATACACAGAGACCTTTTAAGCTAATTGGATTATTCCTTTCACTGAATCAGTTTGCCAGTGGTAGCTCTAGGCCCTGATTCTTCTCTTATTTACCCCCACTGTTGACAAGTTATGTGTGTAAGGCTGAGAGAGTTGGGCTGATTCAGCCTGGAGAAGAGAAGGCTCTTTAAGGGGAGACCTTAGAGCAGTTCCAGTGCCTGAAGGGGCTGCAGGAAACCTGGAGAGGGGCTTGGGACAAGGGCCTGTAGGGACAGGCCAAGGGGAATGGCTTTAACCTGCCCGAGGGGAGACTGAGATGAGCTCTTAGGCAGAAGCTCTTCCCTGTGAGGGTGCTGAGGCGCTGGCACAGGGTGCCCAGAGAAGCTGTGGCTGCCCCATCCCTGGCAGTGTTCAAGGCCAGGTTGGACACAGGGGCTTGGAGCAAGCTGCTCTAGTGGAAGGTGTTCCTGCCCATGGGAGGGGGCTGGAACTGGATGAGATTTAAGATCCCTTCCAATCCACTCTGTGATTCAGATTCTTATCTGTACAAAGAGCTCAACAGATGCATTCTTTACTCTTGTTAACAGAGAACATCCTCCTACTCTCTCTTTCAGAGCACTGTACCACCTCTGCTGACAACATCTGGAAAATACATTAGTCTTGCTTTTTCTTTAAACTCTCTGTGCTGGGATGTATTACTGATAACGTGCCATTTCTGAAATAAGACTGAGCATAACAGTTAAAAATTAAAAAAGTTAAAATTAACCTTTGAAAAATAAACATTATTTCACAGAGTTTGGATGTAGAGGTTTTTAAATCATTTTCCAACCATTTTATGTAATAAAATCTATTAAAAGAATTGAATGATAATAATAAGATTCCATTGGCTGGAATAGAACGACAACATAGCCTAGAAATTCATATGCAACTGATTCTTGATCTCACATTCATTACCTAGATGTAGATTCAGCACCTTTAAAATCAATTACCAGCATACCCACTAAAAACACCAGACCACCCCTTAAACCTGTGCGTTACCTGTATACTTTGTAGCATGCAGCTAAACTACACAGCTTCAGATGCATGCAAATGTGCTTTCCTTAGCTAGGTACTTTAACAGTGAAAATAAATTATGAAGGTACATCACAGGACATTTCATTAACAGTTTTAATAAAGGTATTGCTCAAGCTCACCAGAATTTTTAGACCAGCCTCACAATGCCAAATTTGCAACTCTATATCCCATCTCATTTTGGCTATAGAATTGTTCACAACTTTTCCAAAAAAAATCATGTGTTCTCTCATTGTAGAAGTGTGTAAATACACACACATATACATGCATATTCATGCTGTGGTTAAAAAAAAAGTGCAGTGATTTTACTGGGGCTTTAAAAAGTGAGAAATCAGTATATAAAAATAGACTAAGCTAAGCTTTTTCGGCCTGAAAATGTAAAAGTTATGAAGACTGAGAATAAAAATAGGAGCTTTATTTCCTTTTATGAGTTCCTTCTATCCATACTTCTGACATTTCTTTCCTATTTGAAGTAAAAGGATGAAACAAGTTTCTCAGATAGCACTGTGTAGCAACACTTCTTGAAGACTGAATACTGTCCCCTGGCAGACGCAGCAGTGTAAGCACACACTGAAGCAGTTGTTCCAGGATGGAGTTAACAGAAAGCTTAAGCCAACAGTGCCAGATCTCAGGAAGTGTGCTCTGGAATTAAAGAACAGCAGAACCACCTGACAACCTGTCTGGCTCTCATCACCTAGCAAAACCAAAAATGGATCAACAGACTCTCCAGGAAAGAATGCCAATAATCTTTCTAAAGCACGATTTTTTTCTCCATGGATCAGGCTAGGGGACTACCCAGTAACTCTGCACACATGATATGTAATGAGCCAGCATGCTGACGTGTGATGTCGGTCCTATGTGTGCTCTTCTGGTTTCCAGATGATGTGTGGCTGTGCTGCTGCTTTAAGCCCTACATGCGGAAGGGACACAGCCACCTGTGGACACTTCATTAGTACAGCACCCCAGCCACCTCCCTTCCATGGGGGCTGAGACCACCAGGGCCCTCTTCTCCCTAAAGCCAATGCTGCCAGTTGCAGCCAGGCTAACATCTGTACAACAGTAACACCAGCTGCTTAAATAAACAACACAATGCATTTTATACTATGTGAGCATCTCTTTGCACAATGCAGAATAAAGCAGTAAAGGGGCTTATTTGAATGTACAGCTACTTTGATGTGTACTGTGAATACAATGCACTGTACAGTGCATGAATGAGAGCAAGCACAGGGGAGGTAAGCACCACAGC